ACCTGAAGTACAATAAAAAAAAAAAAAATGCCAAAAAAAATAAAAATAAAAATAAAGAATGAAAGAGAAAAGGAGTATACAATTGATATCATGAATATCTGCCTGACCGGTTTGATCAATTGAGAATAAAAAATTAGCTTTGAACTTTCTACTAGTCAAGTAAAAGAGAAAAACAATTTGGGATCACATTATGACCACATTTGATATCAAAATTCTCCTATGAATTGTTAAGTAAAACATGATTGTTTTATTTTGATAAATGGGAAAATTAATGTGCAAGGAGGTAGAATGCTTTGCCAAAAGTCACATACAGTGTAGTCACAGTAAGGGATCTAGTTTCCAAATCTTTTGGGCTATATTGTCTGAGTTACATCTTCTAGTAGCTTTCAAGACTGTTTAGATAGTCCATCTGGCAGATAGTACATGAGGAAGAGAGAGACTCAGATAGTGAACAGCTTTTGCTCCAATGAGAGCTCTGTAGCAAGTGGCTCCCTGAGGAGGCTGTTCTGAATGTTTTACAACATCTTCACAGACAAGGATGATACCTAACATTTGCATATCCCTTTATAATGTCTAAAAGCACACGTGTACATTATTTGATTTAATCCTCACAATCAAGGAGTTAGTTAGGACAAATGTCATGGTGCTCACTTGGTCTAGAGATATTGAATATTTAGCTCAAGGTCACACAGCTATTTAGTTAATACAGAATTGAAGTTAAATACCCACATGTCTTTTTTATTCCTCACTGCTTTTTGTATATGAGTAGGAAGAGGATAATCTATGAATTGGGTAAGCCTTTCAAATAAGTTATTAGTATTTTTCTGAGCATTAAATTATACCTTGGGAAACAGTTTTTAAAGACCTCTCTCAAGAATAAAATTTCAGAAGGTGAAGAATCAAAGATCCAGAATGAAAGCCAAGATCAAGTTGAAGATCCCAGTATCCTGAATCCCAATATATTATCTAACAGTGGCAGAGTAGCAATTTATAAATGAAAATCTTTTAGCTCCTGGCAAGCTTTAATCCTTGGTTATTTTACACACTCCACTC